ATGAGCTGCATGAGTTGCATGAGTTGCAATGAGCTGCATGAGCTGCATGAGCTGTAATGAGCTGTAATGAGCTGCAGTGAACTGCAGGAACTGCATGAGCTGCATGAACTGCATGAGCTGCATGAGATGCAATGAACTACATGAGCTGCATGAATTCCAATGAGCTGCATGAGCTGCATGAGCTGCATGAACTGCAATGAACTGCAATGACCTGAAGGAACTGCATGAGCTGCATGAGCTGCATGAGCTGCATGAGATGCAATGAACTACATGAGCTGCATGAATTCCAATGAGCTGCATGAGCTGCATGAGCTGCGTGAGCTGCAGCCTCTGTGTGCTCCAGGGCCACCCCTCCTGAGCCCCCTGAGCTGCCCTCAGTGCCAGCCTGGCAGGATCAGAGCTGCTCTCTGCAGCCTGGCAGGGATTCATCTCAGTGCAATTCCACCCCTGGGCTGCACACCTGGAGCTGAGTGATCCAATTCCCCAAATTTCCTGGTGGGAACAGCGCTCACTGCTGACCTCGGGCCCAGAGGTTCCCTGGAATCTGCAGCAGGAAACCTTTCCAGGTGCAGCAGGCATGAGCTGAAGGATTAATGTTAATATTTACCTCTCTCAGCTCCTTTATTGCATAATTTGCATTGGCTTAAGAGTTTTAAGGCCTGCATTAGGAGCAGAGCCAATTTCTGCTCCCTGAAGATCCTGCTCACACCTACTTCACCTCTTTGTCCACTTGGGAACCACCACTCCCCTTGTCTCAGTTTAAGGCACATTTTTTGCTACATAAATAAAATATAGACACGGGGAGGAAACCAAGGGTATTGGGGACCTCTCCTGATTTTGATATATAAATTACAAAAAGTGGCTTTTCCCCAGCGTTCCCTCTCCTGCTCCACCACTGTGGGTCCTCCCTGCTGGATGGAGTCAGGGGTCACATTCACAAACTACCAAAGGCGGGCAGGTGAAATGAGAATCCCTCACCTCAGCACCAAGAATACCCCAAAATTACATTGTTAGGAAATTTATCTTCTGTTAAATTTGTTCACTCTGCTGTGCTCTGCTCCCTGTGGAACTCTGAGGTGACATTACAGGGGAACACGTGCAAGAAAGCCAACAACCTCAACAGCAGGAACATCTCCCAGCACCCTGGATGAGCACCTGGAGCTCGAGTCGGATTTGGGGTGCAGAGTCTCCATCACAGCTTTATATTTACACAATAATTAATCTAAACCTTGCTTTTGCTTAGGAGTTAATTTGTCACAATTTCCCAGTTTTCCATGATATTTTGACTGCTGTTCAAGGGCAGTTTATGAAATAACTGGGGAAGGTCTTGGGCCAAGGGGTTTGTACCAGCCCGTTCCAGCTCAGCCCTGGCTGCTGTGGGGTGGGAACTGGAGTAGCTGCTGCTCCACCTGCAGAGGAACCAAAAGGTCTCTGTTTCCTGGGAGTGCTGAGCAGTGCATATTCCTCATTAATGAGCTCTTGAAATGGCATCTGATTTCTCAGTTTGCCCCCAAAGGAGTGCCCTGATCTCTCCTTACACCTTTGCAGAGCTCTGCCAGTGTCCAACCTCGTTGTGGAAGGCACAAACATTTTCACACCTGACACTTCTTCCTTTGGCACCGCAGGCTCTCCGGGGAAGCTGCACCAATCTGGGACTGAATTTCACTGTGCTGCTGCCTCAGGAGCACAGAACTGAACGTTAATGCTTCAAACATTTCCCTGGGAATGCTCAAGGAGAAAGGTTTTTATTGAGTTGAAAATTTAAGTGCGTGCTTGAGTGAAGCATCGATCACACTCGGACAAGCGATTGTAAGAAATAACGTAGTTAAAAAAATTAATTCTGAAAATACTGCCAACAATTTCATGATATAGATACTTTTAATATTAAAAGTAAATTGTAAATGTGTCTTTATAAACAATATGCATAAAATAGATCTACTATACTAAGCTCTCTCTTTTTAAATGCTGTTTCACAGTAATCTCTTAGGTACGCCAAGTTTTTCCCTCTTAGAAATAGTGCAATCTGAAGAACATACATCGTGTCAGGGGATTAACAGCTGCTCTGCTCATTAGTACAGGTCCTTGTAGATCTCCTGGAGCAGAGGATGGAGGCTCATGTCCGTCTCGGTTTTCTTGATGACCTGCAGGAGCTGCACGTGCTCCGTGACGATCTGCCTCAGGTCCGTCATTTTCTGCAGCAGCTTTGCAAACAGCTGCGAGGACTCGGGGTGGTTCAGCTTCAGCTGCAGCTCCAGGGCTTGCAAAAGGTTGTCCTGAATGTCTTCGATGGGCTTCACATTTAGCAACCCCGGGCGGTCTGGGGAACAAAAGGGTTGGGAGTTTATCAGCACCANCCATTTCCCATTTCCCATTTCCCATTTTTTCCCATTTTCCCATGGTTTGGAGTGCTGGGAGAAGGTTCTGTCAGGGAGGGCTGAAGGGAGGTGAAGCGCCTGCACCAGGGGATGCACAAAAAGGTTTTCCATGCTTTTATGGAAACTGTGACTAAAGTGGTCTGGGCTGCAGCAATGGGGATGCTGGAAATTCTTTTTGTCCTCTCAATTTCCATTCCAGGCCCTCACAGCAACCTTTGCTGGAGAAATGGTCCCCTCAAAGGCAGCATGTACCAGCTGCTGTTTTTGAGTTGTTAAATGTTTTTAGTAGCACTGAAGATCAAAACCCAAATTGTTCATTTATGGCACAGCCCATTCTACCCAAAACTCCGGAGAGTCTGAAAGTATTACAACCTACTGCTGAACTCCCATTAGCAAGTTTGTGTTTTTAATAAATAAAGTCCCATAGAAACAGAAAGTATTTACAATTAGATCAAAATTCTGAATATAATTCACAAGAGAAAATGCTATTTTTTGAGAAGATGTTTTCATATCCTCATAACAGTCATTTGTTCTAAATTGGTACATAGCAATTGTCCATTAAATGAACATTTTTCCCTTAAGACCTATCCTTGTAGAAAAGTATTTCAGGCAAAACTTCTTAACCATGATGTAACCACTCAGAATCAGAGCATGTCAGTGATTAGTAACTCACAGAAAATATTAACACTTTGCATGGCTTGAGGAAAACGTGGTGAATAATACCAAAATGTGAGAGCAGACAGGGTGTGGGGAGAACAACAGATTTTATTAGAGCAGCTGATACAGTTGAAAGAAAAGTTGAGGCTTGTGGGCACTCAGTGCCTTCATCCTCACAAAGATAACAACACCCATTCCTGCAAAACTCTTCTGGTTCTGACTCCATCACCACTCTCAGAAGGTGAGGATTTTTGGACTGAGTGGCTCAGGCACTGTCACTGCTGAGTGGACAGTTTCAGAAATATCACCCCTTGCAGGAGAGGGATGAAGCTCTTTGGTTAATGTGCTGTGGCTTACACAGATTTTTTTCAGTGCTTTACAAAAGTACTGAACTCAATTTCCCTGTCAGAGCATCTCTGCCATTTATTTTCAATTTAATTTGAATATTACTTCTGTAAGGACACGCCCTAAAATTCCTTTTTGTTTGAAGCCACTTCTGGGCTTTGATTTGAAGGGAAGCCAGTGGGAAATGGGATTGTTTGAGACACGCAGGCTCAGAGTCCTGGTCCTTGCTGGGCGCTGCTGTGGCAGGAACTGAGAGCTGGAATTGGGGCCCATCCCAGGGCCAGCCCCTCTGTGACCCCCCTGCCACGGGAGGGGCAGCGCTGGGAATTCTCCCCC